CTTTTTTAATCCACTGACATTTATTTTTACATCCTTACGTTTAAAAAAAAAAAGAAATGGGTCAACTTAATGAATAGTAATACTTAATAGCCCCCTCAGTTTGGAACATTTTTATGAGAGTAAAAGGCTTTTATAATTAAGCTAACGCTAATTCGTCAATAAATACTTTGTTAAACGGATAATCTTAAATAATATTTGGAAAATAATATTCAGGTTACATATTCCTGGATAGTTACACTATCAATTTTAAATATTATTAAAAAAAATAAAAAATAAAAAAACTTTTTTTTATAACAAATTCTCTTTTAAGACTACACAAAAGAGCTTCTACAGTGGCGTGAATTGAGTCGATAGCACTAAAATAGGAATTCAGTATTATTCGAAAATATTAATAAGTTTATCAATATTTTGCATTTTTGAGGTTTATTTTACACTATTTCATACTAATAAATAGATCAGAAAATTAATTATACAATTTTTTTTTCAAGTTTCTACTGCATTTAGATTTTATTCGGATTGCCTAGAGTGACGAACATTTTGAGGTTTGATTTTGAAAAATGTCGCAGTTGAGTTTCTGTTGTTTATTTAAAATATTTCTTAACACAACATCGTCAATGTGGATAGAAAATACAACTTTAAAATCAATTACCAGGTTATAAAATTTTTTTCGAACATAAAATTATTCCAGGATCACATCTTTTTGGAAGTTAGAGGTTAATCAAACATTTTTGCACACAATTATTAAACTCAGTTTCGCCAAAAATTAAAAGTGTGAACAATAAATTTTCAAAATTATTTAATTTAATATTGATCGAAAAATTAATGAATTTTAATGTAAACAAATTTTACATAATTTTTAATTATAATTTTAAACAACCAAGAAAAATGTGAACGAAATCGTTTCAATAGTATTTGAATGATCAAAATTAAAAAAAAAAAAAATTGTATAATTCAGTTTTTATTTTTCGAGAACTTTTCAATCGACTTCGCTCTAACTTCGGATTTCGTAATTTAAAAATGCATACCATATATGTATAAAATAAAAAGTTTTAACGAAATAGGTCAAATATAATTTTAAGTAATATAATTTTCTAAGTTTTCATATCACAAAAACTTTTTTAACTGTTCTACTCAGAAATTCGGATATTTTTATTTAAAATTACATATTTTAAAAAAATGTAAAAATTTATATAATGTTTAAAATGAATTATTAGGGGGAAATATAAAAATATCATTGAATAATTGTAATTTTTAATTGTGAGCAAATGTGATTGAAATTGATTTGCTTTATTAGTTGAAGACATATGGGAAAATGCGAAAAATTATATAAATTTATTTAACATTAAAAGATTTTATATCTTGATTCCTTTCTTGACTAATTAACATCGTAAATCTGTTCGTAAAAAAGTTTTTTAAAAAAAAAGACTAGAAAAATTCACGGGGATTTCAATCTCATGGATATTGTGTACTTGCCGATCTTCAACAAATTTTATTTTTTTGGAACCTTGTTTTATTATCTGAATCAATAGTATAACACAGTAAAAATTTTATTTTAAAATTATTTTAGGTGCAATTCAAAAAAAAAATGCAAGATTATTTTATTTATAATACAAATAAAATTTATGCTATAAATAAATTCAATTTATATATTTATTCATACCAATCGCAAAGAAGGAAAAAAAAACGAACACTTCAAAGAGTTTTGATTTAATGATCGTATTGTTACTAGCATTCAATCTTAAAAATTTGAGAGGCTAAACTAAAATATAGTTAAGGTACTTAGGGAAACTTTTCAGATTTTTTTTTTCTAATATCTTAATTAAATTGCTCCGCATAATTTACAAATAAATGGAAATTAAAATTTTTAAAAAAAAATCTGTGTCAAAAAGTAACCACCTTGGGTGGGGTAACTTTGGGACACGTTATTTATCGCCTTAAAAATCGACTGAAACATTTTAGCGCATTCTTTCTAATTTCGAATAAATGCACAGCTTTTAAAATTTCTCTAAAAATTCCTTTCTATTTTTTTTAGGAGAAACTGTGCATTAGACAGCAAATTCCGCAGAACATAACAGTTATTTTACAACCTAATACTACCTCTGAAACTGACAAAAAATTTTGCGATTTTTGTTATTTGCTTTATTCCTATTTTCAGAGGTGATTATGATCCCAACTCAAAAATCCCAAAAACTTCTTGAGTAAAATCATTAATGACGCATTTCAAAAAATTAATGTCTTTATGAATTTAAATCCCTGATATTTTCAAAACATGAAATTCTAACTAAATTATATGCAGCATAATTTAAATGAATAATTATGTGTAAGTTTACTTTTATCTCTAATAACATTTATTATTCTATCANTCAGATTTTTTTTTTCTAATATCTTAATTAAATTGCTCCGCATAATTTACAATATATCTCACAAAACTTTTTTTAATGACGTAATTAAACTTTTATAATAAATGGAAATTAAAATTTAAAAATAAAAATCTGTGTCAAAAAGCAACCACCTTGGGTGGGTAACTTTGGGACACGTTATTTATCGCCTTAAAAATCGACTGAAACATTCTAGCGCATTCTTTCTTAATTTCGAATAAATGCACAGCTTTTAAAATTTCTCTAAAAATTCCTTTCTATTTTTTTTAGAAGAAACTGTGCATTAGACAGCAAATTCCGCAGAACATAACAGTTATTTTACAACCTAATACTACCTCTGAAACTGAGAAAAAATTTTGCGATTTTTGTTATTTGCTTTATTCCTATTTTCAGAGGTGATTTTGAGCCCAACTCAAAAATCCCAAAAATTTCTTGAGTAAAATCATTAATGACGCATTTCAAAAAAATAATGTCTTTATAAATTTAAATCATAGATATTTTCACAACAAGAAATTCTAAATAAATTTTATGCAGCACAATTTAAATTAATAATTATGTAAAAGTTTACTTTGATCTCTAATCACATTTATTATTCTACCAGAAAAAAATATTTACAAATGAAAGAGATGAAAGTATAAATTCTAGTTCTAATATTTTTAAATAAAATATACAAGAATTTTTATACATAAATGTGATCGATGATTCCTTGAAACTTCTGGACCTTGGATTTCCGGAAATTTCTGGATCATTTTTGAAATTCTATCACTCAAAAACTATTTAACCCTTTGACTGCTAACAGTTCTAAGTTGAAGCGATTACTGGGTACTTTTTCGAAAAAAATTGATTTTGTTGGCATTGTATTAATAAAGTACAGAATCCAAATACGACTTTATTCAAAATTGATCCAAACATATTGTATTTTCAATACATATTGTTAATTCTAAAACTGTTAAGTTTTAAAACGCCATGATTTGATTGTTATAATATATTTATTTGAATAGCTGACCAATTAAAAAAATTTCATTTTCTTTCTTTTTTTTGTTGCTAAGCAATGAGGTATGAGATTTCTGGGAGAGTTGAATATATACGAGAAGTAAAAAACCAAAACATTTGCCGAGCACAAATTTGCGTCCACAGTTTACACCGATAGCTTACGAGGGATGCACATCTGCGTCCATAGACCACAGACTAATAAATATTTTTTCAGTGAAAATTCATTTTTGTAATTATCTTCTTTATTTAAAATATAGTTTTACATCAGTTTATAGGCATATCTAAGGTTATTCTTTTTAACCATTAGAATTGCTTGATAGTATACGAAAATCCAATAAATAGATGAAAAGTTACACAAAGGAACTAATTTTTTGCTGAATTTATATAAATACTTGATCTTGCCCAATTTGGGTGTTAGGATTTCAAATCTAAAATTAGTTTTGCTCCAAAAAATAGTTTTTTTTAAACGAAATTTTTAGTCTACCTTTACAAATGCACAAATTTAAAAACGTTACATATATAACAGGGGGCCAAGTAAATATTGCAACACTAGGAGAGTTATGGCGCATCACGATTAAAATTGCATGATAACCTATACCTTGAAATGTTGTCGTACGCGGCTAGTTGTGCTTCCCTATTATGATCTGTTCAGAAGCACATACAGAAAAAGTTCATTATAGGAAATAAACGCCCCTGACAGCATATGACGACATTGAGCATAAGTTTCTATGCAATTTTAATGCTGATGATGTCATCAAGAAGTTTGAGGCAACCTTTACGCGAACACTTGTTATATATAACGTTTATAAACTTGTACATTTCGACAAAAAATGAACTAAAAATGTCCTTAAAAGACGTATCTCGGACAGAGAAACCGATTGTTGAGTTAAAATTAGTGACACGTAAGTATCTGAGGTCTATTAAAAAACCTCATGCTACAAAAATTATCCCCCAGTGTTATTAAAGTGTTTTTTATTTTGTTTTACTCTACGCTAAGTCAAAAATTATAAATTAAATAGCTGAAAATTACAGATTTTACTATTTTTTAAACAGTTTACACTTATACCAGTTACTACGTGCACAATGATAAAATCAAACAATGCCATTTAACTGAAAAAATTTTTACACCAAGTTCAGTGTAAATGTGTTGTTCAATACAAACTTTTTTATAAAAAAAGCGATACAATTATACACTGGAATTTCATATATAAGGGGATCTGGCGATTAAAAAAACTCATTTTAAAGGAAACTTATATTTACATACATTGTTAAACAAATTAATGCAAGTTCAATGAGTTAACAAAGAACCTTACCAATTATTACACAAATTAAGCTATTTTTATTTCATTTCAAAGTATTCTTCTTTAACGTCTATTTATCATATTGTACGAATTCAAATTTTTAAATCAAACCAACGACTCTAACTTTATAATAAAACTCAATACTAAGTATCCATTTCAATTAAAAATTTCAAGTTTATGAGTTAGCAATAGATGAAAGAAAATAACGACAAAAAGAATAAATATTCAATTTTTATCTGTTATTATAAGTCAATAATGAAAAGTAGATTCAAAGTATTAGAACAAAATCAAATTAAGAAATAGATGTTAAAAAAATAAGTGTATTAACCTGGATTTCTGGAGGTCCACCTTCGTCTCGTATGAGTAAAAGATAACTTTGGCCTTCGATTACAACTTCTTTTTTAAACCGACCACCTGTTAAGAAAATGGACATCTTTTAAACTTTCAAATAGAAAATATGAGTTAATAAACAAATCATAATATAGGTCTAATATCTTCCCATAGAAATCAGTACAGATAAAATCATAAATTGAAGCTAAGACGCTTAGCGAAAAAAACAATCGAAATTGATATAATTGTAATAAAACTGCAGCAGTCGAAAAATAACACACCTCAACTTTCGCTCATTAAGGTGATACTTATCGTAGTCCTGTTTCGTCTACCGCACGCACAACTGATGCTGCCAATCAAAGTTAATCTCGGTCATACGACGTAGTCCGTGCCTGAAATAAATCTTAGACTAACTACTATGTATGAGAGTTGTTGTTGTTGTTAATTTACGTCGCACTAGAGCTGCACAATGGGCTATACTATGTATGAGAGATCGAAGAGTGGAAAGAATTATAGATTATAAACCAACACTAAACGCTTTTTACTTTAAAGTGAATAAGTTATTTTTAGTGATATTGAGACACGAACCCGCAATCTTCACATTCAGCATCATTTACATTCAATTTCAACTCATACACAAAAATTTTCTAGATTAACTATTAAGTTAACGAAAATAAAGCGCTTTTAATTAGAAAGCACACCTGTAACACGAACCTGCGACCTTATGTCCTAATTTGCGTCATACATACTCGTTGCGATCTTTATTCTTTTGTAAATGTAGTAGGCTGGAAAACATTTGAGAATAGCTTGGAGAACATTTAAAGAATGAAACATATATTAGATTTCTATATATCAAAACCTACAAAAAAAATTAATTCTATATCAAAATTTGATGTTACACTCGAAGCCGTTTCCATTTAAAGATGCTAAATCAAATAAGTAATCTTTATCAATGAATGCAATTTGGTACAATAGTAGTACTTTATTTTTGTCTCACTAGAGTTCCACAATGGGCTATTGGCGACTGTCAGGGACACATCCCTGAGGATGAGCCGAACAATTTTTATTCTCTACAGAGAAAATGGCTCCCTGCTTTGATAGCCAGAGGACCAGCGCGAAGTCTAGCATTTCAGGGTAGAGCAGTTTAACAAGGACCGAAACCGCGCTCCCTCGGTCCCTTTGCAGACTGATCAAAGCCATCATCCACCCGCTCACTGGCTACAACCAGTGACGTTTGACTTCGGTGATCTACGGGAAACCGCGATTACTTTCTTTTCTCTGGTATAAAAAATTACTTTCTGAATTTAGACAACTAAGCATTCGTTAGACTCCTGTATTTTGTTAGTTTTGCGAAGTCGAGATATTACCGCGGCACTTACGAAGATTTCATACGTAAAATTCTAATAGTTTATTTTAATATCTTTATTTTAATAGTTATGTTTCCTAAAGCTACGCTAATTCGTTTAACATAAATAAAGAGACAAAATATAAACACAAACACGTCTATGAGTCGAATAAATAGCTACAGAGTAACATTGATTTAAGTTGAGTTATGTAGGGTTATAAACAGGGCTAAAATGTTGATAATAGAACATTATTATTTAGGTTTTGTTTTTGATCATTTTTTCATACTTTAGATTTTTTTTTTACCTTTTTTTTAAAAAAATTATGAAATTTAAATTAGATTTTGCATTTTAAGGACAGTTTGCTTTTGAATTAATTTTCTTTCTTTCATTTAGTGTAAATTGTGCATTGACTTTTACTTTACTGTTACTTTTTGTTACTTTTAAATTTTGTTACTTTTAAATTTCTATTAATAATGCTGTGTTAATATTGAAAAGAATTTAACAAGATATGAAAACTCGCTTTCGGACAAAAAACAATCTTCATTTTATAAGTATCCAAAACATTTTATAATACAATATACAATTCTGATGTACTTGAAGATTCTTACTAAAAATCAAGTATTTATTGAAATTTTGTTTTGTTCATAAATTACATATTTATTTTAATAACTACTTTATTTTTTCAAAGAATTATAAATTCAAGTTACAGTTTATTATTCTTTAAAAAAATTTTATATAAAACATATTTTTGAAAACTTTTCTTTTTCAAGGTTCTTATATAATTTTTTTTTTTCAATTTTTAAGGGCATTTTTAAAGAAATATAAATTACTAACATCTGAACCCTGATTATAAATATAACCGTAGTCGACTTAGGAGTAAGTAAGATAAATAAGGAAGTAAGGACAAAGTAAGAAAAGCAAACACACCTTCAGGTGATTCGTCTTGCATATATGAACCTGTCAAATATCTATGGACTAATGCAGATTTGCCGCTGGACAAACTTCCAACAATACCCTGAAAAAAAGATTACAAATTAATTTGGAAAAATATTCTTAAGAAAAGATAAAAAGATAATAAATTAATAATTAAAATAGATAATAAATTTTATTAGCAAAGAAAAGGCTTATTCAAAAATTTAATTGATGTAATGTAAATTCATAAAAAGGCGGTAAAATATGCGTTAAATTATAACTTATATTTTTAAATAATGATAAAACAAATCATTTAAAATTATTAATATTTCAACATATTTTCACTAAATAAGAGTAATGATCCGCAGACATAAAATGATAGTGGCAAAACGTGAAAACTCATTCCTGTTCAAATCTTAAAATGACATTGTAAAAATTCCATTGCATAGTTAGTTGGGGAAAAAAAGGAATAAATTTTGCTTCAAAAATTCTGAACTTTGTCATTTTAAATTATATTGCTAAAGAAAAAGCGATCAATATTTCTATTTCCTTATTTATTTTAACATATTTTTTATCATTTATTTTAAATTAAGCAATATAAAATAATAAAATATAAATATATTTTTGCTTCCCTTTATACTAGTTGGTCCAAAGGTGAAAAAAACATTTCATGTTTGGGTCAACTAATTGTATAAATGGATAAAAAAAAATTTTTTATTCGTGCAATCAGCGAGACACGGCAAAAAATAATTAAATGAAATAAAAATGACATTTTTAAGTTTTAAATTTTAGACCGTCCTCGTATCTAAACTATTGACACCATATATACACCAGTGAAGCTAACCTTTCCAAAGATGAATTTAATTTTTGAGTCAACTCATGTAAAAAGAAATGTCACCAACTCTTGTGGAAAAAAAAGGTCAAGTGAAATATATTATTGAAATTACTTATTTATAAATAGACAAATATATTTCTTACTATTTTAAATTTAATAATTCAATTCTTGATCAATGAACTAAGCGGATATTAGTTTTGTTTGAATAAGTAAGAAAGTATATGAAAATTTTATCATGAGCTCGAAACCTTACAGAGTTCATACCGGGTCCAGACTCTGGTGAAGCTCATCTCTAATCTCTTCCTATTTTTGAGGTTTAAAATCCGTGTTGAGAAAAAAAAAACATGTTTTTTCATAGATAATAAGCTTTAGTGTCTGATTTTTTAATTTATCGTAAGCACAAACCAATTAGCATGTTTGAAAGGTTCTCCGACTAGATTGCATCTTACACCCATATTCACCAACCCGAGTTATTTCCAGATAATCCCTGGGTACGAGTTAATCCAGGGATTAAACAAGAAACGTTATTCTCCAACCAAACTCATCAGATAAACAGCGGATTTCATCCACAAATTTGATCCGCAGATTGCCCTCCGTTTTTGAGGAGTTATTGGTGGGCTATTTAAGATCGTAAACTAACAAAATGGATGACTCTATCACTTCTTCTTTTCTTGAAGATATTGAATTTCTCGAAATTGTTGAAAGAGAGCCGTGGTGGCTTTGGAGGATAGAGCGCTCGCCTCCCACTGAGATGAACCGGGTCGAATCCCATCGAAGGCTGGCAGACACGAATTCCGCACTCGGTCACACCGACCACAATGCTGACGAAAAATATCCCCAGTGGTAGACGGATCACGGGTTAAGATTTCCCTTACCATTAGGCTAAGAGTGGTAAGTTTTCGTGGTTTTCCTCTCCACGTATCGCAAAAGTGAGTTACTTCCATTAAAAAGTCCTCCACGAATGCAAATTTCTCCCAATACTTGATCTGGGAGTTTCCTTGTCTTTTGGATTAGGTTCAAAATTACGGCTAAGGAGTTTAACATTTGCAGTCGTAAACTCAAAAAAGGGTCGGCTGTTCAACGATGGTTATAAAAATAAAAAAATTCTTGAAAAAAAGAGAAAGATTTGTCCTCATCACATTGATGGTAGCTTTCCTGCATTATACCAACGTTAAAGTTCTTTTTTATGAATTAAATATCTATTTCTCATATTTCCTTTCTTTATATGCGAAGCGTATAAGTTCTTTGACCGGGTTTCGTTTTCGCCTGTGTTTATCGTGTTTATCGCGTATCGTGTGTTTATCGTGTAAAGTGCCAGCCAGGTGGTTGAGCGGTCTGGGTGCCTGACAGCGAAACCATTGATCGCGGGTTCGAATCCCGCTGTTGCTCGCCTCGGTGGCTCAGGTTCACAGATACCCGTTGAGTAACATAGAATGAGTACAACTCCCGTGATCATCTGTGTCGAATAATATAATAGATCAGTGTTAGCCATTAGAATAAAATTATATACAAAGTCACATGGTTTTACCTCGTCCAATCCGAGATTTTGTTACACTTCCTCTAAGAATAAATCTAGAGTAAGAAATCCTCCGTTAAAGACGACTGGAGAATAAAGACCGAGAGTTAATCCACGAGTATCCTTTATCCGAAGATTTCCTGATCCCCGAGTAAGTTTCGGACTGTGTGGTGGTAGGTAGGCATTTCACTTACGCCGCACAATAGGCTATTGGCGACGGTCTGGGAAACATCCCTGAGGATGATCCGAAGACATGACATCACAATTTTGATCCTCTGCAGTGAAGATAGCTCCCCCGCTTTAGTAGCCCAACGACCTGCACACGAAGTCGAGCACTTTACGGTAGACCAGTTTAACAATACCGCACACGCTCGGCCCCTACGCAGACTGATCCAAGTGGTCACCCACCCGCACCTCTTCTGGGAACCGTGTCTTAACGATCAGTCCACTGCGGGACGAAACATATGTGGCGTTGACGTATCTTAATTGGGTTCTTTAGGCCTGTGCGATAATATGGCCTAGTATATGCGATACCGCACTTCCTCGGTCATCAAAGTGACTGGTCTTATCATCATCTTACTGACCGGTGTTCTACTGGCAATCATGTCAGTCTAGTAGATTTAGAATACGAAATTCCAATCTTCAGATCAAAAATTACCCGTTCTTCCTTCCTCACTTAAAACGACAATATACTACAGGGGAAAAAAACTTCATAAATTCTCTTTCATTACCATAAGTCATTTAAAGTATAGAGAAAGTAAAAGCGAGCTCACCTACAGTAAGCCACGAAGTTTAAATGGTGAAAAAAAAAAAAACTTCAACATATCAAAATGAAAAGAAATTATGATAGGATTACTTAGAGTTACGCTCTGGGGTTTTCCTCCAATAATTTGTTCGTATTACTTTGAAAACATTTTTTCAACATTTGAAGCTTCAAGGTTTACTTTTCTCTATACTTTAGATTTTAATATATCAATCGAAATATATAAAAACATATTTTGCAATGAAAAGTTTCTTCTCTCGCGATACAGCGTCCTCTTAACACACGCATCATAAACAACAGTTCTCTGACAGCAGTCAATTTCGATTTATTACGTAATTCGTGTGACCTTCGCGGTGCTTATTTTGTGCACAACTCAAAATTATGATATTTTGAGACGTCATTTCGTTCTGTGATGTGAGTGTGATAATATTGCAAAAATGGAGGAAATGTGTAACAGGAATAATATTATAAAATATGCATAAATTTATTATTATTTTACTACAATACAAAAAATTTAAAATTACACACCTAATTACCCACTACTTATTTTAAAAATTCCCTTAACATTATATTTATTATTTCGTGACCTAAATAAAATTAGAAAGAAAAAAAAAACGAAACTAAACCGAAATTTTTGAAACTTATTTTTATTTTATTTTTTTTACAATATATTTCTCAACATTTGTGTCTTAAACGAATATCACAATATCAGCCACATATTTTTTTAAATTTAAAAGGAAAAATATTTTTATAATTACTGATATTTTAAAAATAAAAAAAATGGGAGAAAAAACAGTGATTTCTTAAAATTTGAGTGCGGTATGATTAATTGATGCTTCAGGTAAACCTCCAAACACGCGATTTATTCATTTTTCAACTATGAAGTACAGACGTCAAATCTAACTTCCGTGATGCGCAATATGAATAATAAAGGAATAATTATTAAATAACTATGCATAATCAGGAAGGTTTCATCATAGTTTTAGTAACATGGAACTTCATATTAAGTTCGCAATGTTAGAAAATCCTCGAATTTCCCATCCCGGAAAACTCCAAAATAAAAATAAAAAAGTCCCATATTTAAATAATTCCCTTGCCTCGTTTTGATTTGTATAAGCAAAATAAAAAATAATTAATATTACTAAACATTAAAATGTAATGATTAAAAAAAAACAAAAGAACATTTTGGGAAAAGGTAAGATTTTAAACGACGTTTTTTGTTGGATTCAAAAATATATACAGGACCCACAGTGATAACTGTCCGTGAAATTTATTTTTAGAATCTCATTCCTAACTGAATATTAGACATAAGGGGTAGTAAATTAATATTTATGTGAAGAAAAACCAAAACGCTATCGAAATCTACCAAATCACTGCTAATGAAGGCAGGACTAAAAACACGAATCCCGGAAGAAACCGAGATTCTTAAAGACTTTGAAACAGAGATTGTCTTTAAAAAAAAAAAAATAGAGATTAGTTGAAAAACGGTTATTAGAAATGCCTCCAAATTTAATCAGGCAGTAAAAATGGTTGTCATGTTTTTCAACCCGCTTCCTTCTATGAAATTCATAAGCGTTTCGATAAAGTTTTTGTTTCTTCTCCGCTTAAATATTAATTTGGGATCCTTGATATGTATACTTTTTATCACAATATGATTTATAATTTTTATTACAATATGAAATGTAAATACAGGGTGTGTCACAACTTTCTTCGGAACTTGGAAGGCTAAAAACATACAAAATATTACCAAGACATCAACAAATTTTACTTTACCTGAAAAATAGGTATCATAAGTTTTTTTCCCACAAATGTTCAACAATGTGAACTTTTGGTGATGTCGCAAACTTCAATTCTTAAGTCAATTTGCGGCTAATGGCGTTGTTAACCTCGATATGCTACAACTGTGCTTATTGTCCCAATTACAGGAAAATTATGCATTCATTTTTAAACAAGATGAAAGCGCCCCCTTCTACATTATCTGTACAGATG